AAGGCTTTCAGTCTTTAACCATTGAGTATGATATTAGCTGTGGGTTTTTCTTCTTTTTTTTCTTTTTGAGACAGAGTCTTGCTTTGTCGCCCAGGCTGGAGTGCAGTGGCACGATCTGGCTCACTTGCAACCTCCGCCTCCCAGGTTCAAGTGATGCTCCTGCTTCAGCCTCCTAAGTAGTTGGGATTGCAGGTGTCTGCCACTACACCTGGCTAATTTTTGTATTTTTAGTAGAGACAATGTTTCACCATGTTGGCCTTGCTGGTCTCAAACTCCTGACTTCAAGTGATCCACCTGCCTTGGCCTCCCAAAATGCTGGGAATCCTGCTTCTGTGGTGGCCTAGCAGTTAGGACTCCTGGTTTTTACTCAGGTGGCCGGGGTTTGACTCCTGGTGTGGGAACCCAGGGAATCTGGCTTCAGTTACTCTGGTTACATAGCAATCACAGTGCTGGGATTACAGGTGTAAGCCACTGCACCTACAGGGGTTTTTCATATATGACCTTCATTGTGTTGAAGTAGTTTCCTTTTATTCCTACTTTCTTGAGTGTTATTAACTTGTAATTTAATATGCTATACAATTCACCCATTTAAAGAGTACAATTCAGTTCTTTTTAGTATATTTACAGGGTCTGCTTTGTTTCTCTCAGATTGGTTGGATGGTAGTCTTCAAGTTTATGAAGACTTTCTGAAAGATAGAAAGTGCATCTTTTGGTAGCTTTAAAACACCATGCTTTTGGAAAAGACTTAATGTCATGTAGTATTTGAAGAGTGGGGGCTTATTCTCATTGAACCCTGACTCAGCTATGACCTCATTTGACTATGCAACCTGGGCTTCTGTCGGGCTGCTCTCTGTGTCATTGACACTTGGAGGTGGAATGGTGCCCAAATGTGGGTGTCAGCATCTGGCTGCTCTCCCCTTAGACAGTCCACTCAGATTCTCAAGTTGAGGCAAGAGTTTGTACAGAGGCTTCTGGGCCATCCACTAATGAATACCGTCTTATCTGTGGAGCAGAGTCTATAGCAGGCGTCCCCAAACTACAGCCCGCAGGCCGCATGCGGCCCCCTGAGGCCATTTATCTGGCCCCCCCGCCACAGTTCAGGAAGGGGCACCTCTTTCATTGGTGGTCAGTGAGAGGAGCACAGTATGTGGCAGCCCTCCAACGGTCTGAGGGACAGTGAACTGGCCCCCTGTGTAAAAAGTTTGGGGACGCCTGGTCTGTAGGAAGGTGTTTAGGGCTAGTGCTGGAGAAAGGAGAGGCTTCTCCTGTGGGAAAACCTAAGCAATTTGTGTTTTAAGCACAGGTGCTTTAGTGGTTCCCCATCTCCATAGACTGTTGTAGAACCAGAGCCCTGTTGCAGCAACCAAACATAATGCTTCTTGAGTGACCTTTGACCTCTCCCATTTGCACATGTGCTTCAAACATAAATCCTTACCTAGTGTCAGGAAGCCTGTGTGCCAAGGATGTGGAGGCATGTGGTGTTGGGCATAGGCCCTGGCCCCTCTGAACAGGGCATGGTGAGTGGCAGTTGACTGCTGACTGCAGGGCAGCTGGGGTCGTTTGTTGCTTGGTCAGCTGAGGCACTGAGGGAATGGAGACTGGCCTTTGGCAGCCTCTGCCATGTAAAGTTAGGAAGCTGATTATTTGGGCTGCAGTTTTTCTGAAAAAATGTGCAAGCTTTAATCTAATGGGAATTCTGCCAGCAGGTTAAGACAGCTTCTGCTCCTGATGGTCCTTGAAGCTAGCCCCTCTGGCAGGAGGTGGCAGACACTTTGTGTGTTTCTGGGAAGGACTAAACAGTCCTGTCCAGCTTCTAGCTATATTTTAGTTCACGTCTTTGATCTTTAAGGATCCAACTCTGTCTCAAATGCTGCTTAAAACAAAGGAGAAGACGATTTCCCTTTGAGCCATGAAACTTTCTCTTTGAAGTGCTATTTCTTTCTTTTGCTTTGCTCTTTTCCTTTGTCTCCCTTTTTCCCTAAGCCATGTGGGCCAAGTTATCAGGGCCATATGTTGGGTTGTATCTTTTCCTGGTTCCTGCCCAGCATGATTGAGATAGCTGGTTTCAGAGGAAGGTGAGTAGGTCAGAGCCTTCCCTTCCTGCCCGATCTTTCATTTGGATAGTAGAGGCTGCTTCCCCAAATAGAGTGGTGCAGCAAGCCAGAGAAAGGCAAAAGGGCATTTACTGCCAATAAGGGGCTGGCAGGAGCAGAGTATTAGGCCTTTTTTACATTACTAGAACGAAATACCAAGACAGGGTAATTTATAAAGAAAAGAGGTTTGATTGACTCACAGTTCTACAGGCTTTACAGGAAGTGTGGTGCCTGCAAAGGCCTTGGGAAGCTTATAGTCATAGTGGATGGTGACTGGGATCCAGCATGTCACATGGCAAGGACGGGAACAAGTTGGGGGGAGGTGCCATGCTCTTTTCTTTTTTTTTTTTTTTTTGAGACGGAGTTTCGCTCTTGTTACCCAGGCTGGAGTGCAATGGTGCGATCTCTGCTCACTGGCAACCTCCACCTCCTGGGTTCAGGCAATTCTCCTGCCTCAGCCTCCTGAGTAGCTGGGATTACAGGCACGCGCCACCATGACCAGCTAATTTTTCTGTAGTAGAGACGGAGTTTCACCATGTTGACCAGGATGGTCTCGATCTCTTGACCTTGTGATCTACCTGCCTCGGCCTCCCAAAGTGCTGGGATTACAGGCTTGAGCCAACGCGCCCGGCCAGATTTTTCAAACTTTTATGCTCTCCTTCCCTCTTTTTTTCTGAGATGGAATCTTACTCTGTGGTTGCCCAGGCTGGAGTACAGTGGCATGATCTTGGCTCGCTACAACCTCCACCTCCTGGTTTAAAGCGATTCTTGTGCCTAAGCCTACTGAGTAGCTGGGATTACAGGAACATGCCACCACACCCGGCTAATTTTGTATTTTTTAGTAGAGATGGGTTTTCCCCATGTTGCCCAGGCTGGTCACTCCTTCCCTTTTAAATATAAGTTCCGGCCGGGCGCGGTGGCTCAAGCCTGTAATCCCAGCACTTTGGGAGGCCGAGGCAGGTGGATCACGAGGTCGAGAGATCGAGACCAACCTGGTCAACATGGTGAAACCCCGTCTCTACTAAAAATACAAAAAAATTAGCTGGGCATGGTGGTGCGTGCCTATAATCCCAGCTACTCAGGAGGCTGAGGCAGGAGAATTGCCTGAACCCAGGAGGCGGAGGTTGCGGTGAGCCGAGATCGCGCCATTGCACTCCAGCCTGGGTAACAAGAGCAAAACTCCGTCTCAAAAAAAAAAAAAAAAACAGTTACACTCAAGATAAAAAAAATAAAAAGAAAAAAAAAGTCTTTTTTTTTTTAGGCCAGGGGTGATAGCTCAGGCCCATAATCCCAGCACTTTGGGAGGCGGAGGCAGGGGGATTGCTTATTGCTCAGGAGTTCAAGAACAGCCTGGCCAACATGGTGAAACCCCATCTCTACTAAAAATATAAAAATTAGCTGGGTGTGGTGGTACGCACCTGTAGTCTCAGTTACTTGGGAGGCTGAGGGGGGAGAACCACTTGAATCGAGAGACCTCCATTCCAGTGAGCTGAGATTGTGCCACTGCACTCCAGCCTGAGCGACAGAGTGAGACTGTCTCAAAAACAAAAATTATTTTTTAAATTTTTTATTGTAGAATATATATAACATAAAAGTTACTTTAATAATTTTTAAGTTCAGTGGTCTTAAGTGCATTCACATTGTTATGCAAGTATAAGGTTATATCTCAGCCTTCTTGGTTGGTGGCTTGAGTATTCTGAGCACCTCAGCTACCTATTGGTGTTTATATGTGGTTAATATCAGGCATCATGTGTGCTTTCTACTATTTTACTCTTAGAAAGTGATGACTTGTTTCTCTTATTTCTGTGTTTATGGGGAAATACCTATTTCTTTGTACATTACAAATATTTAGACTAAAAAAAAAAATGTTCATTTCTGCTTCTGTCTAGCTTTCTGATAAGTGCCACTAAGACATCTTTGATAGCTGCTGCAACCTGGGACCCCCCTTGCTGTGGACAGCTTAGTTGCCTTAGGCACCTGGAGTGGGAGGAGTGAGGGGTTCTTGGGGAGCCTCACACATGACTGCTTCTAGCTTTGTGTGGTTTGGGAGACCAATGTGAATGCATGCTGGGAAGGTAATGAATTTTGAGACCTAGAGAACAAGCTCTGTGTGAGCAGTCTTGATTGATGATCCTATATGGATCCAACATGGCCGTACTTTTTTCATGTCCTGGTTTTTGGTGCAGACTGGGTTGTCCCACACTGGGTTGTCCCTGTGGGACAACTGTGCATTGCTCTGTCAAGCACTACCTAGGATTGAGCTACTTTAGGCACACCTTAGGAATAGATTCTGTGCCTTAGCTACAGCCAGAACACCAAGGGACTGGAAGCCGTGAATTCATGACACTTTCCTCTGAAACTGAAGCCAGTGGTTCATAGTGACACACACACACACAACCTTCTGTTTCTCTAGCTGGGTAAGGCATTAAGATGCTTTCCATTAGCAAATCAAAATGTCAGGTTTCTCCAAGAACCATTAGTATGTTATAAGAGTCTCTACATTCATTGCTTTTCTCATTTTTCTGCCTTTTATCAAGAAGTGTTTGCCGGGCGCGGTGGCTCAAGCCTGTAATCCCAGCACTTTGGGAGGCCGAGGCGGGTGGATCACAAGGTCAAGAGCTCGAGACCATCCTGGTCAACATGGTGAAACCCCGTCTCTACTAAAAATACAAAAAATTAGCTGGCCATGGTGGCACGTGCCTGTAATCCCAGCTACTCAGGAGGCTGAGGCAGTAGAATTGCCTGAACCCAGGAGGCAGAGGTTGCAGTGAGCCAAGATTGCACCATTGCACTCCAGCCTGGGTAACAAGAGCAAAACTCCGTCTCAAAAAAAAAAAAAAAAGTAGTATTTGAGAAGGAAGATGCATGATTATTTGCTAACCAATTTGTGTGTGTGTGTTTTTGAAGGTACATGGGAATAGGACTCTCGGCTCAAGGCGTCAATATGAACAGGCTTCCTGGTGAGTCACTGTTTAATAGAACATTTGTTCTGCTCTCCTGATCCAATTGGTGTTGAGAGTCATGGTGGTAGTTGAGAGGCTGGGGAGGACTTTGTTTGCTGGCTGCCTGCCTCAAGCCATGCCATTGGGTAGAGGATCCTGAAAGGTAGGTAGCCTTTGGGCCAAGATGGTGTGCATTTCTATTCCAAAAATTAATTGGCAAGTGATTGTCTTTAATGGAGTTTGAACTGTTTGCAGTCAAAGTCAACTGACCTGAGCTTGCTCCTGGTGGGGATACGCCTCAGCAGCCCTTTCTCCTATTGGCCTTGCTAAGCAGACTGAGGCATATACTGGGAGGAAGACTGCTGCCAACCCGGCTCCTTTGTTACTTCATTGTGTTAAAGATCAGAGTTTTTGGCCAAGCGCAGTGGCTCATGCCTGTAATCCTGGCACTTTGGGAGGCTGAGGCAGGTGGATCACCTGAGGTCAGGGGTTTGAGACCTGCCTGCCTAATATGGTAAAACCCCCGTCTCTACTAAAAATAAAAAATTAGCTGGGTGTGGTGGCACATACCTGTAGTCCCAACTACTTGGGAGGCTGAGCCAGGAGAATTGCTTGAACCTGGGAGGCAGAGGTTGCAGTGAGCAGAGATTACGCCACTGTGCTCCAACCTGGGCAACAGAGTAAGACTCCATCTCAAAAAAAAAAAAAAGATCAAAGTTTTTAAGTGACCTCCCATGTGGAACATGATTGAAGCAATTTCTTATTTTTATTATATATATATATATATATATATATATATATATATATATATATATATAGTTTTTTTTTTGAGATAGGGTCTCACTCTATCACCCAGGCTGGAGTGCAGTGTCTCAATCACGGTTTATTGCAGCCTCAACCTTCGGACTCAGGTGATCCACACACCTCAGCCTTCCTAGTAGCTGGGACCACAGGAGCTCACCACCATGCCCAGCTAATTTTTTGTCTGTTTTGCAGAGACAGAGTTCTGCCATGTTGCCCAGGCTGGTCTTAAACTCCTGGGCTGTAGCCATCAGCCCACCTTGGCTTCCCAAAGTGTTGGAATGATGGGCATGAGCCACTGTACCCATCCTTATTTTTATCATTTTGTTATTTTTCTTTTGAGACAGGGTCTCACTTTTTCACCCAGGCTGGAGTGTAATGGCACAATCTTGGCTCACTGCAGCCTCAACCTTCTGGGTTCAAGCACTCCTCCCACCTCAACCCCGCAAGTGGTTGGGATTATAGGCATGTGCTACCACACCTGACTAATTTTTATATTTTTATGTAAAGGTAGGGTTTTGCCATGTTGCCAGGCTGGTCTTGAACTCCTGAGCTCAAACAATCCGTCCACCTCAGCCTCCCAACATGCTAGGTTTACAGGCATGAGCCACCATGCCTAGGCTGAAGTGACTTCTTAATAAATAGGATGATACGCATGAGACTTGGGTTGGTATCGGTCTCCCATTAGTGGAATGGCTTGAGCCCTACAGATGGCCCTCTTCTGCCATCCCAGCATTCTTTCAGCTATTTTCTGCCCAGCAGCTCATACCTGGACGTGGACTGGCTACAAATGGGGAGACAGAGCCTCTGCCATGAACTGATGGGTTCTAGAAAATGGTCCTATGCTCATTGGTCCCTTGAGTGGCAGAAGTAATGTGGTCCAGGCTTCCGACACCATCACAGAGTCAGGAAAAGTCCTTGTGTTTTTTTTTCCTGGCTTCCTACTCTTTGTGCCTGTGACACAGAGAAGGCAGCTGGCTTTCTCCAAGAAGGGAGTAACACTTAGACCTTATATCTTTTCTAATCAACGTTTAATGTGGATCACTGACTTTTTTCTAGTAGACTGATTTCAGATACTTTCAATCTGGGATACTTAGGATCCAACTAATTGTCAGGAATCTTACTTTTTCCCCCCCTTCAGTTGATCCAAGTGAAAACTGGTCTTTCATTATTAATCAGAATGTGTGTGGCAGTTTTCTTTGCATACTGTGTGGCTGTGTTCTTTTTTATATGACTGTCTGGCCTTGGCTAAGTAGATGTATCTGTAATATCTGTAGCTCTGCCTCTTAATGAACAGGAAGAATAATTTCCTGTCAAACGCACACTGATTCTGAATTTTGTTTGTTTGCTGTACGTATGTTCTTTCAACTTTTGCATTGAGTTGGTAGTGGAGAAAAGAGACTTTTATGAACTTTTTTGTTGTTTTTGGAGACAATGTCTCATTCTGCTCCCCAGACTGAAGTGCAGTGGCATGATCATGGCTCACTGCAGCCTTGATCTCCCATGCTCAAGTGATCCTCCCACTTTATTCTCCCCTGTAGCTGGGACTCCAGGTGCAAGCTACCATTCTCAGCTAATTTTTCATTTTTTAAAAATTATTTTTAGGGGCCGGGCGCGGTGGCTCAAGCCTGTAATCCCAGCACTTTGGGAGGCCGAGGTGGGTGGATCACAAGGTCAAGAGATCGAGACCATCCTGGTCAACATGGTGAAACCCCATCTCTACTAAAAATACAAAAAATTAGCTGGGCATGGTGGTGCGTGCCTGTAATCCCAGCTACTCAGGAGGCTGAGGCAGGAGAATTGCCTGAACCCAGGAGGTGGAGGTTGCGGTGAGCCGAGATCGCGCCATTGCACTCCAGCCTGGGTAACAAGAGCGAAACTCCGTCTCAAAAAAAAAAAAAAAAAAAAAATTATTATTTTTAAAATTTTTTTAGAGAAGGGTTGGGATAGGGGTGATTGGGTAGGTAGGAGTCTAATTTTTCATTTTTTGTAGGAATGGGGTCTCACTATGTTGCCCCAGCTGGTCTCAAATTCCTAGGTTCAAGCAGTCCTCTGCCTCAGTCTCCAAAAGTATTAGGACTATAGACATGAGCCAGCGTGCCTGGTAGGGGACTCTCTTTTTTTTTTTTTTTTGAGACGGAGTTTCGCTCTTGTTACCCAGGCTGGAGTGCAATGGCGTGATCTCGGCTCACCGCAACCTCCGCCTCCTGGGGTCAGGCAATTCTCCTGCCTCAGCCTCCTGAGTAGCTGGGATTACAGGCACGTGCCACCATGCCCAGCTAATTTTTTGCACTTTTAGTAGAGACGGGGTTTCACCATGTTGACCAGGATGGTCTCGATCTCTCGACCTCGTGATCCACCCGCCTCGGCCTCCCAAAGTGCTGGGATTACAGGCTTGAGCCACCGCGCCCGGCTCTCTCTTTTTTTTTTTTTGAGACAGATCTCTCTGTGTTTCCCAGGCTGGAGTGTAGTGGTGCAAACACTGCTCACTGCAGTCTCAACCTGCTGGGCTCAAGCGATCCTCCCACCTCAGCCTGCTGAGTAACTGGGACTATTGGTACATGCCACCATACCAAGCTAGTTTTTTATATTTTTAATAGAGACAGGGTTTCGCCAGGTTGCTTAGGCTGGTCTGGAACTTCTGAACTCAAGCAGTCCATCCATCTCGGCCTCCCAAAGTGCTGATTATAGGCATGAGCCACTGCTTCTGGCCAGGGACTCTTTAGGTACCAATTTGGAATCATCTGTAGAGTATGTTGGGAAATGAAAAACACAGAGCATAGAAGTATATAATGTGCTATAAAATGTGCAAAAAAAAAAAAAAAAGAAAGGAGAGAAACAGATCTGTATTTACTTGCACATGTGTAGATCATCTTTGGAAAGCTACAGAAAAACTTGTAATAGTGGCTATCCCTTGGGAAGAATGGGTGGCAGTAGACAGGACTGAGAAAGAAAAATCTTCACTTTCAAGCCTTTTGAATTTTCTCTCTTGTGAATATGTTACCTGTTTTAAAAATATAAATGAAATTTAAACAAAATAAACAAAAGCAAATGTCCCCATATAAGGAAACCCTCATGTTTGTCTTTTAGGTGGTCTTAGGATGAGGCCTGTTATGCCATGTGTTGGATTTATTATTTTTTGTTTCTTTTTTTTTTTTGAGACAGAGTTTCACTCATGTTACTCAGGCTGGAATGCAATGGCGCGATCTCGGCTCACCGCAACCTCCGCCTCCTGGGTTCAGGCAATTCTCCTGCCTCAGCCTCCTGAGTAGCTGGGATTACAGGCACGTGCCACCGTGCCCAGCTAATTTTTTGTATTTTTAGTAGAGGCGGGGTTTCACCATGTTGACCAGGATGGTCTCGATCTCTTGACCTCGTGATCCACCCGCCTCGGCCTCCCAAAGTGCTGGGATTACAGGCTTGAGCCACTGCACCCGGCAGCCTGGTTAATTTTTAAAAAATTTTTGTGCGGCCGGGCGCGGTGGCTCAAGCCTGTAATCCCAGCACTTTGGGAGGCCGAGGCGGGTGGATCACGAGGTCGAGAGATCGAGACCAACCTGGTCAACATGGTGAAACCCCGTCTCTACTAAAAATACAAAAAAATTAGCTGGGCACGGTGGCGTGTGCCTATAATCCCAGCTACTCAGGAGGCTGAGGCAGGAGAATTGCCTGAACCCAGGAGGCGGAGGTTGTGGTGAGCCGAGATCCGCCATTGCACTCCAGCCTGGGTAACAAGAGCGAAACTCCATCTCAAAAGAAAAAAAAAAAAATTTTTTTTTGTAAGGACAGGGTTTTCCTGTATTACCAGGCTGGTGTCTAACTCATGACCCTCTCACCTAGGCCTCCTTGCCTGGCCCTTCTTTTTTTTTTTTTTTGAGACGGAGTTTCGCTCTTGTTACCCAGGCTGGAGTGCAATGGCGCAATCTCGGCTCACCGCAACCTCCGCCTCCTGATTTCAGGCAATTCTCCTGCCTCAGCCTCCTGAGCAGCTGGGATTACAGGCAAGCGCCACCGTGCCCAGCTAATTTTTTGTATTTTTAGTAGAGACGGGGGTTTCACCATGTTGACCAGTATGGTCTCGATCTCTTGACCTCGTGAACCACCCGCCTCAGCCTCCCAAAGTGCTGGGATTACAGGCATGAGCCACCGCGCCCGGCCTTTTTTTTTTGAAACAGGGTCTCACTGTCACCCAGCTTGGAGTACAGTGGAGCAGTCAC